GCTCAATATTGCAACGGACAGTCGCTTGAAATTTACTTTGTAAATGTAATAAATAATAATTTTATTCACACACACACACACACACACACACACACACACACACACACACACACACACACACACACACACACACACACCTCTCTCTCCCTCCCTCCCCCATGTCAGTGCGACATACAAAAAAATAAATAATTAAAACAGATCTGCAAACAGATTGCCAACATCATGCAAGGGGAAAAAAAGTAATTAACAGACTATAATCACAGTCAGGGATGGAAATGATCTTTTTGGCTCACCTACCAATGGGACTGGTAGATGGGGGGGGGGGGATAAAATGTTTTTCCAAACGGAAAATCAACCCGCATTTGGCGCTTGCCAGGTGTTAATTTACAACCCTGATCACAGTTACTATAAATAGTGCACATATACACAATAACCATTAGGATAGTGGTTCCCAACCTGGTAGTCAGGACATCCCAGGCTTAAATAATCTTGACAATAAATGTCCTGTGTAAAAATATGCAGTGAGCTTACGGTTTCATAGATGTCCGTGATTGAGGGGTCGGTGACTGAGATTTCGATCTGCTTTGGCCAAACGCATCAGACTCTTTGACCTGCTGCATTCTAGGACGGCTTGGTTGCAGGACAATCCACTCTCCCTCATCGTCATCATATTCCTGCACCACTGGTGGTTGGTCTGTGTTGGCACTGGCATCTGAAGAGGGTGAACAAACAGCAAGAGAGTTCAAACACCAGGACCGTGTCATCTTTCCTACTTTGAGAAACACTGAGACATTCACCTCCAGGACCCAGATCACTGTCAACACCAAACAGAGCTTCGACAGCTTCCTCCAACGTGGCGTGTGTTTTCAAGGCCTCAGAGCTCTGCGCCCAGGAGAATCCCATTTCCTAAAAAGGAAGTCCAAAACCAACCTCTTAAGCTGACATGATACTGGCATGCACACATTAAAGCGTCGAATGATTGATACACTGAATTAAGTTTAGTTATTAGCACCCTAACTGCATTTACAGCGTGCACATCCATCCACAGAAAGATATGAACAAATTAAACTTGTGTCCAACACAACTGTCTGTCAGAACAGTTGTGTTGAACTGAAACTGCTGAGTAAAATATAAACCAGGCAGAAGAAACATAAATCAAAAGCAAGCGAGTGTTCCATCTATTAAAAGATCGAACCTTCCAACAATGTATTTTTTCTATTGGGATCCTCTATCATCGAGTGTTCTGACATCACATTGTGATTTTTGGGTACTGTTGTTCAATCGTTTACCACTTGCTGCCATTTGGAGCCAACAACATGCAAAGTTACCACCAGCAACTTTCCATTGTACCATTTGGGGTTTATTTGCGTATTTTTAAGTGTTTTACATAAGCTTTTCCTACCATTAGATGCAATGTCTGTGCTCGTTTCAGCTCTTGTGTGGCTTCAGCACTCGAACTTTCCAGCTTCAACACGTCCTTATAGATCAGCGATGCCTCGTAGTATCTCTGCAGAAGAAATGGAGGAAACTCAGTAAGTAAGGATTCAGACATCTTAAATTAACTAATAAAAAGCACATTAACTTTTAATTTATACATCTGCGTCGAATAGCCAAAACCGTAGACTACATGCCATCATGAGCATTTATACAGCACTGGTGTCCGAGTTACGTTGCAATTACACTGAAAAATGCTAGTTGGCGGTGGGGTTTCTATGTTTCTATTGGCAAACAAGATGGCACTACTATAAAATAAATATGACTAAAAAATATTTAGTAACAATCTCACATTTCCATATGGCAAGTTGTATCTGTACTGCTTACAGTACTCTGTGCTTTTACCACAAGAAAATTTCTGAAAATATCAAGGTAGTTGCAACATAAAGAGAAATATGAAAAGAAAACATTAAAAGTATCTTGAAGCACTAACAAAAAAAAAATCAAGTAGCTGCAAAGTGTAAGTAAAGTAACTGGATGCAGTAACTGCAAGTTACCTTGAGCCCACATAGAGCTTTTCCTTTTCTAAATAAACCTTTTATCCAATTTGGCTCCATGGAGAGTGCTACGTCAGCATCCCTGAGAGCGTTTTCATACTGCTGCATTCTTTCATAACAGAGGGACCGATTTCCAAATAACCTGAAAAACATGGTTCATGATCATTAAAAGGTCAATGCTTCTGGAGGCTTTAATGAAGGCTGAAGTAAAATTAAGTCAATGTTCTTACTTATATTCCTTTGGGTTATATTTTATGGCATCTGTAAAGCATTTCACAGCCATCTCGTACTGTGCAGAGGCAGCCAAACGATTTCCGATACCTGGAAGGAAAGCAAGGACAGCGTGCCTGCTTCAGTACTTTCACACGTTTATCTTGTCAAATTCTCAGTGAAAAATATAACTTACCAGCAAGCTCTCTGCTTCTTTTTGCAAACTCTTCTGCACTGGGATCCATCGTTTTCTGTTTTAAAAAAAGTTAGCACATTAGTCTCTGAAGCATGTCATCCACTGCAGGAAACTAAATTTGCATGTAGCTTTCTGTCAAACACCAAGTTATGATTTTAAGGCCTGTTTGACCACAAAATAAAAAGATACATTCACAAATATGATTCAAGAGACAGATTTGTATAGTGAAAATTATGGTTTTCCTTGTATTGCTTCAATATTTAAATATTACTGACATAACATAATTAACTTTTAAAGATTTAGTAGCCGTCTTCTGGTTTGAAATATGGTGAAATATCTGTCAATTTGGAGGGGAAAGCAGTTTTCTGAATTTCAGTCATTTGGATTTTAAGATTACTTAAAGAAATACAGACACTGTGTTGTTTTCAGTGTTCCTACCTCTTTACTGGGATCATGTTCCTTCTTTTGAACTTCAGGTGTCTCTACAACTTTTGGTTTTTCCTCCTTGGACTGATCTCCCAGAGATTTAGTTTTTCCATTTTTTCTTTCTCTCGCAGGCCTCTGGTTACACGTCTCCTCGGGCACCGATTTTACCATAGGAGCATATGAATTATTTAAATCCAAATCCTGTCAAGGATAATGAAACACAATGTGGTTAATTTAGTCTGGTTGCATGCACCTAACACAGCAAACATACGGAGGTTAGAACAGTTGCTGATAGCACTGGTCCAGTTTCACAAAGAGACTTTAACAATGTCTAAGATCAAACTAATAGTCAGATGTATAAATTAATCCTTTGCACAAAACTGCCCAAGTGTTGAGCACCTCCAGTATTTATTTGCTTTGAATTCTCTGTAAAATAAGACAATTAAAAAAAACCAAACACATGGCTGACTGAGCAACAGAGTGAAGCAGAAAATCTTTTACTTCTGGAAGAACTATTATAATTACATTTTACTGGTAAAATTGAGTGAAGAGTATAACAAATACAATAAACTTCAATGGAAGTGCAGACATCTGTAGCTAAGCTGCTGTGATAACAAGTCCAATAGGTAACTACTGCTGGATAAGTCTTTCCCCTGTCATTACTCGCGCCACAACATTGTTAAAATAGCAGAAACAATTTTCCTGCACAATGTAAAGAAATATCCACAAACCTTGTGCTCCTCATCTTCTTTCTTATTAATCTTCACAAGACTTTCTTCTTTATTATTACCACTGCTCCCATTACATCCAGCTGCCTCAGTTGCATTTTCTGTTTTAACAGATTCATCTGCTTCTGGGTTACTTTCAATAACAGGATTTTCTTCACGATTTTCCGAGGAGTCCGACTTCCCTTTTTCTTCCTCCTGAAATTACAGCAAAATTACCTTACAAGTAATGAGCATAGCTTTGAAAAAGGTCTTACAAGACTATAGCACATAGGTGTACTTGTTGTTGTAGTAAACAGCAACGTGAGTAAAACCATACTTACAGGTAAAATGTCTTTAACTGCATTCTCCTTTTCTAGTCGCTTCTTTTCTTTTTTACGCTGTAACAGAAAGTAATGTGTTGTGAGTTGCTGGCAGCACAAACATTCAAATTGACATTATGGGTGGCTACTGTGGCAGGTTGCCCGTTAATCGGAAGGTCGGCGGTTCAATCCCCGGCTTGTTAAAGTGTCCTTGGGAGATAGTGAACCCCGAATTACCTGGCGGCTGTTCCGCCAGTGTATGAATGTTAATTTCTGTTTGAGCATTTAGACTCCGTGTGTGAATGGTGAATGCAGATGTAAAAGTGCTTTGAAAAGTCAGAGAATAGAAAGGCGCTATACAAATATGGAGCATTAAATACTAATGTCACTGTACTGGAAAATAAATTATTTGAAAGGTTTCAGTCTGGTTTCAGGAAGTACCACAGCACTGAGACTGCCCTGCTTAAAGTCACCAATGACTTTTTAATGTCTGCTGATGAAGGTATGTGCTCAGTCCTTGTACTCCTGGACCTTAGCGCTGCTTTTGACACCATTGATCACAACATCATGTTAGACAGACTGAGGCACTGGGTGGGGATCTCTGGTACTGCCCTAGAATGGTTTTCATCCTACCTGTCAAATAGGAAGTTTTGCATGTCTGTAAACAACTGCTGGTTCCCTAGTAAATCACATTAAGCCTGTTGCAAAGAACTTTGGTGTTTGGTTTGATAGTAATTTAAATTTTGAGCAGCACACCACAAAGCTTGTTCAATCATTTTAATCAACTTAGAAATATAGCAAAAATTCGATCTATGTTAACTTTTAAGGACACCGAGACCATTTTACACGCCTTCATCTCATCACGCCTGGATTATTGCAACAGGCTTTTCACTTATTTAACCCAAAAATCTACTGATCGACTCCAGACTGTCCAGAACTCAGCTGCCAGACTTTTAACCAGAACAAATAAATATGACCACATTACTCCTATTTTAGCTTCATTACACTGGCTCCCAGTATGTTTTAGAATTGACTTTAAAATTTTATTGATCACTTTTAAAGCTCTACATGGCCTCTCGCCTTGTTATATTTCTGAACTTTTAGTCCCATACACACCAGCCCGAGGAAATCGGGTCAGCTGAGTCAGTGAACTCTTTTAAGTCCCTTCTTAAAACACACTTATACGAGAGCCTTTCCCGATCTTACTTGACTTTATTTTATTCAATTTTACTCATTTTATATTTATCTTAAATGTGTATTTTAGTCTTTTCAATGTTTTCTTGCTTTTATCTTGTATTGTTTTTGTATTATCGTCTTTACACTTGTTAAAGCACTTTGTAACTTGTTTTTGAAGAGTGCTCTACAAATAAAGATTATTATTACCACCAACACTGACCAATTTCTTACGCTTGTTCTTCTCCGTTTTCTCCTTACGCCGTTCCTCTTCTTCTATCAATTCCTTTGCATGTTTATCGGCCTCCTGAAAATAAAAAAAAATAAAAAATACAACCTATGCATAGAGTATAAAACAAAAACACTTTCAGAATAATGCTAAAAAGGTTCCAAAGTCTCTGAAGTTCTTAACTTTATTCTCAACAATAGTAGTCTGTTAAAATAGCCTGTTACAAACCAGAAATAAAGAGTAAGTAAGTAAAATTTAATATAGTACCTTTCACAGAGCAAGTCACAAAGTGCTTTACAAAAAAAACACAAACACCATCACCACCACCACAGTGGAGCAATCAGGCAGTCATAAATAAGCATTATAAAGGCGTCAATCAATATAATTGTGTATAAAGGGAAGTTTTAGGTTTTACTTTCAAAAAAAGTGAAACAGAAGTGCAATACCTCGTCAGTGAGTTGTCTTATTCTTGGATGTGGTTGTAAAGGCCTGTAAGCAGCATTGTGTGAACAGAAGTGAACATCGTCGTCATCATCATCATCCTCCTCATCAGTATATATGAGATCATGGTCCAAGTCTCCATCAAAGGTCCTTAAAAAATCTAAACCTGGGAGGTATAACAAAAAGGAGCTCTTCATTTACACTAGTACTTGAATTTTAACTTAACTCGTGCATCATCTGAAGCCCCAAAGATACTTTAAGCATAATATTAAAACAACAAGGTGCATAATCTCTTTCATTCTTCCTGAGAGATTTCCCAAAAGTCTGACGTCTTGATGGAGCGAAAACATCTCTCCAACATTAGGGGACGACAAGTATATGTAATTCTGTATATAATAGTACTAGTTGTAGGTGTAGTCTCAGTCCGACAGCGTGGTGAATAATGGCATCAGAATTGGCAACAAGTCTTGCTGGTTTCTCCTATAAAGGATGCAATCTGTGGTTTAATGACACAAGAAGGCAGAAATAGCCTTCCACACCCTCATACTTTGTCTCTATGCATGACTCCTGTTCTGCTGTTGACTTACAATATGTAGAAATCACTAATTATGTCTAAACCAAAAGGAATATCTTCTAGCAATACCCCTTGAAGCACTAAACCAAACGCAAAACAGAAGAAAAGCAGGGTAACGGTGGGGTGTGTGATTCTAATGCAATGCACGTCTTTTTAGAATTTTTAGGTAACTAACATCTACCTGAATTCTGTACTATTATTTGTCATTTTTGTAACTCAGTAGCTGTTCATATTGTATATACTGCATATAGCAAATCCATCTACTGCATTTACACCTGCACAAACATTTACTGCAGCATCCTTTGCCCTCTGCTCCATTACGCTACTTTTTTGCCGTTTACAAATATTGTTGTTTTGTTTATGGTGTGTGTATGAGTGTATGATATGCCATAGTATGTGTCTGTTGAGCTTCTATATTTTTGTTTGTTAATGCTTGTTCTTTTATGTGCATCAAGAGCAATGCAAGACCGGAGTCAAATCCCTTGTGTGTGATGTGATATATATATATATATATATACATACACACACACACACACACAAACTGATTCTGATGTGCTGTTGTGATGTTACCTAGAGTTGTGATTATGGCTGTCTGGCTCTGGGAAACTGTCTCATCCTCTCTGCATGTTAGCAGCAACTGTAGTATCAGTTTCCTAACGCACAACCTAGCTTAGATTAATTACATTATTTGCTGTGTCGTCGTTTGCTCTATATCATGGTATGCAACATGATATTGGATTTCTCCAGAAAGGCATACCCCCACCTTTAAGGGGGGGGATAAAGCCTAATCACTAACCAGCATATGCATCTAATGTTACCTAAACTGTTAAGTTCTCATCTGTCATGAGCTATTTGGAGGAAGCCTTGCACTGCAATAGAGAACAAGAAATGAAGCTGATACACCGTGACCTTTGTACAGCAAGACCTGACACAACCAGATATAACAGAAATTGGGATTCACAGGATGGTTCAGGAACCAACTAAAACAGCAGTAAATTTGTGTTGCCTGCCATCAGCCTGTCCGACATCTCCAAAATAAATAAACTGTGTAGTGTTTTATTCAGTTCTCTTCTCCACCATTACTTATATAATCTGCAACAGCCAGTTCAGAAAATGCCTTACCAAATACGCCCGAGGCAAAGACATCCAGGAAAGAGCCCCCAGAATGACGTCCATTTATGTAATCTACCATAGATTCCTAAGGAGAAAGATCAGCGACATAAGTACATCCATCCATGTGTCCATGCTGTAGTCACACTAAGGCTTGTATTCTGATTTAACTACTTCCTGCTACATGCTGAGTAATGTGTCATTAATTTGCTGTAAAGTAATCTGTAGCAGTCACCACAACATCTAGTAGAGCTATAATGATAACTCAATTAGTTGTCAACTATTAATCTGCATCTATTTTGATAATTGATGAATCACTGAGCCCTTTTTTGAAAGAAAAAATGTCAAAATTATCTGATTTCAGCTTCTTAAATGTGACTATTTTCTGGTTTCTTTACTCAACTATGACAAAAACTGATTATATTTTTGTTGTGGACAAAAGACGATATTTGAGGACATCACCTAGGGCTAGGACACCAATTGATATTTTTCTCAATTTTCTGGACCTAACAACGATTAATCCAGAAAATAATACATTAATCGATAATGAAACTAATTGTCATTTCAAGTTCTAATATCCACTTGGATCTTATTGCTTTGTAATAAGAGCTGAAAAAAATCAGATGATTAACTCAAGATCAGAAAATTAAATCTGCAACTTTTGATAATAAATAATTTTTCAAGCAAAAACAGCTAATCATTTTCTGGTTACAGCTTCTCAAATGCGAGGACTTATTGCTTGTCTCCGTTTTACATAATTGTAAATGGACTAGGCCTATCTTTAGGGGATTCTGGACTGTTCTGGGCTAGGTTTGGCAAAAAGCAAAGCAATTTAAAGATGTCCACTTTGAGCTTTATGAAATACTGACAGACATTTATCAGTATTTTCTAACATTATATAGAACAAAATTTTTTGATTAACTGTCATTTCTGCATTACCATGACTAAATTTTGTTTTTTTTTTAGTAAGATGCAATACACAGTAATTATAATTTTATGTCGTGAAGGCTGAACGGCAAGTGATTTTAATTTACTTTTACCAGTGTTGTGAATATAAGTCATATTCAAATGACTCTATTGTGTTATTAATGTTGACCTAGTAGCATGTTAACCAGCATCACACAAAACTGGAAACACCAGTCTTAACAACAGCAAGACCAAAGTTTTGTTCTTGAATCATACTCACGTGTGTGCGCATAAGTCTGGAGCTTTCTCCGAGTCTAGCTACTGGAGCACCACCTAAAAAAGGTAGAAACCGGGTAACGTTTAAACACATAACATGCGCGGTTATATTAACGTTACATATATGACATTTAACGTTAAGATCCGGTCAGTAGTCAGGGGGATACAATTGCGTTAACACGTTAACGCCACAAGTTAGCAAGCTAGGTTGGAAGCTAACGAGCTAACGTTACACATTAGCAAGTTCTCAGTAAATGAAACTCAGGAACGAATAAGATCTCACAGAAACACATGACAATGACCGACTTATTCTTACCTTTAACAATGTCTTTCTTTCTTGGCATGGCGTTAGCTTATTTATTTGTACTGGTGTCCTGCAGCTGTAGTAAAGTTATCTGTGTTTATCTTATCGAAGGGAATATGTTACCACTGCGATGAGGGTTCCGTATTTTAACTGTGTGGAGTGTTTGTTGCCCTGGTTTTAACCTTTCAGGCTTTTACCCACCTCCAAGGAGCTCAACCAATCAAATATTTTATTTGTTATGGTTCAGGACTGTGATTGGATGTTGCGCCTGCCAATTCAAGTGAAGTAGGCGGGACTTGAATCCTGCGTGCTGCCTGTGTGGGCGAATGAGGGCAAAAAGAGACCAAGCGGTTGGTTTGTTGTGAAACCTTTTAGCTATGTTTGAAATAATGTCATCAATAAATATAATTATAAAAACAGACAGTGAAGTATGAAGTTCAGTACATTTAAATAAAAATAAAATATGCCTACTGATGTGGGGGTGATTGTTTAATTACTCGACCAGCTGATTGCGCTCTCCAAACCCACACTACTAGCTGGAGTGAGACTCCAAACCCCCGACGAGTTGAAGATGATACCTGGGTGTTCCTGGGTGTAACCTTTTTATATACAGTCTATGGGTGTAACACGGAGAGCAAAAAGGAGGAAATATAAACCTTTTCTCTCATCGATTGTAATTGGAAATGTGCTGTCCCTTGTGAAAAAGCATGGAAGTGCGTGTTGCTCTTGACTGAGACTTGGCTGCAGGAACATAAACAGGTTCTGCATGCCCTCCGAGAATTGCATGCACCTCCTAGGGGTAACACTCATAGGCTAGCCTATATGCTGATGAAAGAGTTGGATGCAGATGTCGGCAGGTAGCCAACAACATCTGTTCTACCAAATAATGCATTCACCTCTTAAGGTCCTTTTGTGCACATTGATAAAATGGGGTTTTCACCACATATTTTTACTGAATCTCAAGGAATCCTACTTCAAGCCATTAATTTGCACCCATATTATCCACCAAGGGAGTTCACCCTGCCATTGCTGTTTACATCCATTCACATCAGCTGAAGCCCTCAGGGTACAAGGTACAAGGGGTACAAGGGTAGGTTTTTTTGTCACATTACAACAACATTTGAACTTTCTTTCCCTGTCAGGTTCTCTGTGATGCTGATTCCCAGGAATCTGAAACTGTTCACCTGCTCCACCTCAGCTCCACTGATGTAGACAGGAGTGTGTGTCTTTTTCCTAAAATCAATGATCAGCTCCTTGGTTTTACTGATGTTGAGTAGTAGCATGGGTTGTTCACTCTGCAAGATTATCAATTTACAAGCACACACCTTTCGTGGTGATCTCTGGAGACTTTATTTATCTCTCTGCCTCACTTCCAAATGTTCATTAATTTGTCAGATGCTCCACCGCAGGCAAGAAAATGCTGGATTTACTGTGTGCAAATGTATACAGCTCAACTTCCCCTCTTGGCAGATCAGATCACAACGTTGTGTTTCTCACACCCACACAAAGGGCAGGGCAATATGGACAGAAAAATGTTATCTTGTTATGTTATGTTAAAATAAATATCTTAATAGAACAATTAGGTGTTAATTCGTTTGTGATTCATTTATTGTTATATTGTTCTTTAGGAACATTATGTCGCTATAATTAACATTATTGTTTTATTGCCCAGCCCTACCCAAACCAACTAACTCATAGTTCAGGAGCAAGGTGTGTCTGCAGGGATTGTAATGAGTTGGACACAGGAAGCAGATGAGACTCTGGGGGTGTTTTGAGGCCACAGATAAGGACATACTCTGAGCCTGGTGAAGACAACATCAACATCACTTCAGAAAATACTTATTTGTTGTAACATACGCACCAGGTCACTGCGATGCTTCCTGATTAATAAGCCCCAGATCACTGAAGAAGGTACTAAACAGGAAAGTGAGACTGAGAGATAACAAGCTCCAGCTAAACAACTGAGAAATGTGTAGTCAGGAATGAAGACCATCACAGGATTCGAGGTGAAAGGGAATCTGGCTGAGGGACGTCTAGACATAGGTAACGAGTTGTATGTTGAATTCTTTGGATAACTATGATCTGGATGACTAAGAACCTTCACAGACATATGTTGAATGTGTTTTTCAATGGGTTCAAAAGGCCATCAGCTCCTCCCTTCCCCTCCTTTAGCCACACAGACCCCAGAGCCTCCCTGGCTCCTCACACCTCCTCTGTCATTAGGACCAACGATTCACACCCTTTTTTTTTAATGAAAACTACAGAAGCTCTAAGCAGCCATTGATTCAAATATTTACTCTACTCCGTTTTCCCGTGATAACGGGATAATTTTCTCGTGATCTCAAAATAACAAACCATAGCTGAAAACAGTGTGTTTCTTTAGGATAATTTCAGAATATATTATAGTGTGGCTGATTAGCTGAGTTGGATGAGCACAGGAACTGTAATCAAGGGATTGCAGGTTTAACTCCTACTACTAACAAATTTTTTTTCTCATCTTTTGTGTTTTTGTGTTTTTTATTATCCTCTTCAGCAAAGTTGTTATGAAGACATTCAGGGGAATCCAACCACACGTTCCCCTACGGCTTTTTCAAAGGTTCCAAAATAGCCGTCAGGAAATGTGTAACATTAAATGGATTCCCCTGAATGCGAAGCACAGGAATTTCCTCTGCCTGGGAAATGAAAAATCATTAGGTTGGTGGATGTGAAACAATCACCAGTCTCTTCATAAGAACTTTGTTGAAGAGGATTATAAAAAAGAAAATAAAGTTGGTGATCCGTGAAACTCAAACTCAAGAATATAAGTCCTGTGCTCTACCAACTGAGCTAACCATTGACACTGGTCTATAGAGTGAAATGACCACTGTGTTAAACTACTGTTTTGTTGTCTCAGGATCACAAGATAATTATCCCGTTTGAATATAAAACTGAGTAAAAAATGTTTGAATCGAAGGCTGTTTAGGGCTTCCGTACTATACATTCTACACTCATTTGCAAAGATATAGTCAGAAAGATATATCTTAAAGTCCTTTTTACTGTATTTATGTTTGTATAAAAATATATTTGTACATTTGTAGATTGTTTTTATATTCATATCAGTTGTATTTAATTCAAACCTAATTATGATAAAACCATGGCTGGATTTCCAATAGAGCAAAGCAGGCAACTGCCCCAGGGCCCCTGATCATTAGGGACCCCATATTCATTATGTAGTTGGTTCATGGTAATCTGATTAAATGCAAATTATTTGGGGAATTATGCACCGCTGCAGCACAATATCAACTCACCCATGGGGGACCAGATCTATGTATAGCTTCCCATCAGCTGCGTTTCAGCTTCTCTTAAGCAGGCAAAGCATTTTGTGAGTAATTACCATATCTTGTGACAGAAGATATTTATGTGTTCTTCTCCCAAGCTTAAACTAAATGGAAACATCTGTGTTACATAGACATGGAAAATATTAATATGATGGTACGATGGGTGTGTGTGTGTGTGTGTGTGTGTGTGTGTGTGTGTGTGTGTGTGTGTGTGTGTGTGTGTGTGTGTGTGTGTGTGTGTGTGTGTGTGTGTGTGTGTGTGTGTGTGTTGTGATTGTGGAGGTATTACTGTTAGTGATGTGCGGATCAATCCTAATGTAACGATATTTCTGATACCATCGTTTCCTGCTCTAGGATCGATACTCATATAAAAGGATCGATATCTAAACTCAGTCATTTGGAGTGAGTGTGTGTTTTATCATAAGTATCTTACAATCACCAGGATGGACTAATTATACTCTGTTGACAGGAACTACTTTTCCTTCCGCCTGTCAAAGTCATGCTTGCACTACGAGTGACGGAGCTTCTTTGAAGTGAGCCTCTGCAGCCCTTTACATTTCCCACGATTGAATACTGACTGGCTGACTGTAGAAACAGTCACGTCTGGCTGTATTTTAGCTGTGAAGGTAATAATGTAGCTCTGTGTGATGTGTGTGCAAAGTCAGTGAAATACTTTGGCAACACCGCAAACTTTGCTAAACATCTGAGATTAAGTCTGTCACAATAATAGGATGATGTTATGAAGCGGCAGTTCTGAGCAGGATATTTTTATTATGATTAAAGAATATGACAGTAGTTTGAAGTCTTGTCATTATGCAGCTATTATTTTGAATTGGTAAGGCCACAGCCTACTCCTTATTTCTTTCATAAATACAGAAACGGGAGGGGGGAGGTCACATAAAACTAGAAATAAAATATGTAAAAAGTATTGGAAATGGTATCGGTGTTACAGGCCTCAAGCAACAGTTACCTGTGAACTGATATTGTGTCCTGTTTTGTACAGGAAAAGCAGAGACAGGAGATGTCACTTGTGATCGTTCAGCAGGCTGTTCTCTGTCTGAGGAGCGGAAGCACCGCGCAGCCCTACTAGCGCTCACATAAGTTGAAACTTCCTCTTGTGGCGCCGTTAAGCAATTACACCCTCATAAACACTTGTTCCATTTCCACTCCTCAGGTTATCTCTTAGCTCATAATAGGTGGAGCTTTCGTCATCATCTGAACCAGTGTCACTGTTCGGTTTCAGTTCCACCTCTCTGTGAGCTGTTTTTGGTCTTTTCCTCTTCTTTGGTGATGTGTTAACCTCCTCCCCTGCCACTGATGGGTCAACAGGAAGGTCATTGACGTGATGCAATAGATTGCGATGCAAGACACGTGATTTACTGCCATCCGTCTCTGAGACCACTTTGTAGACTGGATTGTCACTGATTTGGTCTTTCACAACATAGATAGTGTTTTCCCAATATGACCTCAACTTTCCAGGACCACCCCTTTCACTCAAGTTTCGTACCAGCACCCTATCTCCTGGCTGCAACATTACTCCTTTCGTGTGCTGGTCATAGTATTTCTTACCACAAGCACCTGACCTCTTGCTGTTTTCTGATGCGATCTGGTAAGCTTCGGTCATTCGTTCCGCCCACTTCTCAGCATAACCTCTCGCTGTCTGTGGTGGCTCACTGGTGGTCATCCTGAATAGCAGGTCTATTGGTAACCGTGAGTGTCGGCCAAAAAGCAGGAAAAAAGTACCCAGTTGCTTCGTGACACGTACAATTGTACGCATGGACAATCTGAGTAAGATAATCCTTCCACCTTTCCTTTTGTTTCTCACCGCTCAGCTGGATTTTCCTGTGGGTGAT